AGGAGTTTAGGGAAGACTGGGCTTTTTCCATAAAAAACGTCATTTTTCAACCCTCATTTGACCCCCCGGGCAAAATCAAAATTCCTAAACCTAACTGCACATCTACATGACCCAACCAACCATCTCCCAAAGATGATTAGGATGCTGAATAAAATGTAAGAGGAGTTCAGGGAAGATGGGGCTTTTTCCATAAAAAAACATCATTTTTCGACCCTTATTTGACCCCCCGGGGCAAAATCAATCTCCGAAACCTAACTGCACATCTGCATGACCCCACCAACCATCTCCCAAAAGATGATTAGGCTGCTGAATAAAATGTAAGAGGAGTTCAGGGAAGATGGAGATTTTTGCATAAAAAACGTCATTTTTCGACCCCCATTTGATCCCCCGGGGCAAAATCAAAATTCCAAAACCTTACTGCACATCTACATGACCCCACCAACCATCTCCCAAAAGATGACTAGGCTGCTGAATAAAATGTAAGAGGAGTTCAGGGAAGACTGGGCTTTTTGCATAAAAAACGTCATTTTTCGACCCCCATTTGATCCCCCAGGGCAAAATCAAAATTCCAAAACCTTACTGCACATCTACATGACCCCACCAACCATCTCCCAAAAGCTGGTTAGGCTACTGAGTAAAATGTAGAAGGAGTTCAGGGAAGACGGGGCTTTTTGGACAAAAAACGTCATTTTTCGACCCCCATTTGACCCCCCGGGGCAAAATCGAAATTCCAAAACCTTACTGCACATCTACATGACCCCACCAACCATCTCCCAAAAGCTGGTTAGGCTACTGAGTAAAATGTAAGAGGAGTTCAGGGAAGACGGAGCTTTTTGCTTAAAAAACGTCATTTTTCGACCCCCATTTGACACCCTGGGGCAAAATCGAAAGTCCAAAACCTGACTGCACATCTACATGACCCCACCAACCATCTCCCAAAAGCTGGTTAGGCTACTGAGTAAAATGTAAGAGGAGTTCAGGGAAGACGGGGCTTTTTGGACAAAAAACGTCATTTCTCGACCCCCATTTGACCCCCCGGGGAAATATCAAAATTCCAAAACCTTACTGCACATCTACATGACCCTTCCAACCATCTCCCAAAAGATGATTAGGCTGCTGAATAAAATGTAAGAGGAGTTCAGGGAAGACGGAGCTTTTTGCTTAAAAAACGTCATTTTTTGACCCCCATTTGACCCCTTGGTGCAAAATCAAAATTCCGAAAGCTTACTGCACATCTACCTGACCCCACCAACCATCTCCCCACAGCTGGTTAGGCTACTGAGTAAAATGTAGAAGGAGTTCAGGGAAGACGGGGCTTTTTGGACAAAAAACGTCATTTTTCGACCCCCATTTGACCCCCCGGGGCAAAATCGAAATTCCAAAACCTTACTGCACATCTACATGACCCCACCAACCATCTCCCAAAAGATGATTATGCTACTGAGTAAAATGTCAGAGGAGTTCAGGGAAGACCGAGCTTTTTGCTTAAAAAACGTCATTTTTCGACCCCCATTTGACCCCTGGGGTAAAATCAAAATTCCGAAAGCTTACTGCACATCTACATGACCCCACCAACCATCTCCCAAAAGCTGGTTAGGCTACTGAGTAAAATGTAGAAGGAGTTCAGGGAAGACGGGGCTTTTTGGACAAAAAACGTCATTTTTCAACCCCCATTTGACCCCCCCGGGGCAAAATCGAAATTCCAAAACCTTACTGCACATCTACATGACCCCACCAACCATCTCCCAAAAGCTGGTTAGGCTACTGAGTAAAATGTAAGAGGAGTTCAGGGAAGACGGAGCTTTTTGCTTAAAAAACGTCATTTTTCGACCCCCATTTGACCCCCTGGGGCAAAATCAAAATTACGAAAGCTTACTGCACATCTACATGACCCCACCAACCATCTCCCAAAAGCTGGTTAGGCTACTGAGTAAAATGTAGAAGGAGTTCAGGGAAGACGGGGCTTTTTGGACAAAAAACGTCATTTTTCAACCCCCATTTGACCCCCCGGGGCAAAATCGAAATTCCAAAACCTTACTGCACATCTACATGACCCCACCAACCATCTCCCAAAAGCTGGTTAGGCTACTGAGTAAAATGTAAGAGGAGTTCAGGGAAGACGGAGCTTTTTGCTTAAAAAACGTCATTTTTCGACCCCCATTTGACCCCCTGGGGCAAAATCAAAATTCCGAAAGCTTACTGCACATCTACATGACCCCACAAACCATCTCCAAAAAGATGATTAAGCTACTGTGTAAAATGTAGGAGGAGTTCAGGGAAGAAAAGTGTGACAGACGGACGGACGGACGGACGGACGGACATGAGTAACAACAATATACCCGAACTTTCTTTAGAAAGTGCGGGTATAATAAGGGAGCCCGGCATCAATTCTTGCCTTTTTGGCATCCCCACAAATAAACAAATAAGGGAGCCCAGCATCAATTCTTGCCTTGGTGGCATCCCCACAAATAAACAAGCATGAATGGTGAGCCCTGGGAACAGATGCTCGCCTGCTTGGACAATAATTGCAAAATTCAATCAATTGTGCACCAAGTCTTACGGACTGTAAACTATAGTTAACAACGTTAATCTATATTTTACATCCGTAAACTATAGTTAACGCGATAATCTATGTTTCACAACCGTAAACTATACTTAACACCGAAAACTATCATTTGCGATTGCAAAACATAGATTATCTGATAAATACAGTTTCACGATTTGTAAACTATAGTTTACAAACCTTTAACTATAGTTAACGATCTGATAAATATAGTTTCACGATTTGTGAAACTATGATTAACAACTCTTAACTATGGTTTACGATTGTAAACTATAGTTTACAAACGTGAATCTATGTTTATCAACAAAATCTATTGTTAACGCTTATTACAGACAGATAAACTTAGATTCATTCGTAAACTATAGTTAACAACCGTTAAATATAGTTTTACAGATGAAAACTATACTTAACGAATCGTTAACTATAGTTTACGGTTTGTAAACTATAGTTTACAGTCGATAAACCTAGTTTATCAATGTGAAACTAGGTTTATCTCATTTTTGTGAATTTGGCGTGCCATAGATATCGCATACATGTTCAAACTTGGATAATTTCCTTGTAAACTCACTAGGTAAGTGCATTAATTTTTGGTAGTTTATATTAAACTTAATTTGTTTTATGTGTAAGCTGAAATTATAGGTAGGTTTCATAGAATTTCAATTGTGAATATAATCTGTATCATTACTATAATGAATATCTAAGGATGAAAATCATGAACCCATTCAGATCTAGAGTAATAGGTTAACACAATAATCTCTAACTGATTACCTACGTTAAATTTTTAGCTATATTTTGTTACTATACTCTCCTGTTTTTTTTTTTTTACATCTAGTTGATAGTTTTATAAGAATAACTGATATGAGGCTCAAGGGCCTTCACGGTTACCTGAGTGTATATATTTCAACAGATTAAACTTTGTTACCCAAAAGCAAGGAAAAAAAAAAACCAGATGAACAAGATTAACCTTTCTAATACATTATTTACAATAATTAATTATGCAAGGGGAAGAACTTTACTCAGTAAATTAAAAATTGCAGATCCCTAACCAGACCCAGAACACTTGACCAAAGGTCTTGTAAAAATACACTTGCTTATCAAAACATTTTTTTGCCTCCAGCCGACACGCCCAAGAAGAGAAGCACATAATGTATGCTAAGAGGTTTGTTTAAGTTTTTTTTTTAATGGCGATAGCTTTTCACTAAATCCTCTATAAGTACAGATTAAAAACCTGACTCCTATTTTTATTCTTCTCCAAACACTGTTCATTATTTTAATTTAAAATATTAATATTAAGGTTGCATAATGCAATTTAAGATTTTGTTAGTTTTTTGTTTGTCTTCTCTACTCTAAATGAATCTTTCTATTGGATGTTTGTGGACGTCACATGAGACCCTTTCGGCTATACACGGACCTCTAAAACATTAATGGTGGAATTAGGTGCCATAGAGGAGTGACCATCTCCTGCCAGCCTTGTATTCCTTGTCATGCTCGGGAAATAGTGTGAAAATTGGTTGACAATTCTGTGTGTGTTTTTTAAATTTCCTTGAATTTTTTTTACTTATATTGAGACGCCACCAATTACCGGCGGAGAGCTGCAAATTCGGTCCTTTGCTCGGCACTCAGGGCCACTGAGTAAAGTCATCACGTTTATCGTAAAGCTTGGTTGTTAGATAACCATTAACGTCCTTCTCAAGTAAAATATTAACCAGATGTGTCAGACGCTGTGGTATCTTTTTATCTCAAGCTTACTGGGATATATATCGACATACATTGTAAAATGGAAATAACCTGTTGATTGTAAATTGACATTACGTCGTTGATATGTCTAAATGTCGAGCTGCAGGCCACAGGAAGTGTTTTATTCCTTTCAGGTATAAAATTCTGCTTCATATGACTACAAAATAGGGTCTGCTAATAACGGGGCGCAATTGGAATTCATGGGAATTCCAATAGATTGTTGGAAGACGTGATATCCAAAAACCACATAGAAATTGTCAATCAGAATTCAAGCATCTTTTTTATTTAAACTTCAATAAGGTAAAGAATATACTAAAATGTAAACAAAGGTAATGCAACACAACCAGCGATAACATGGAACACCATACCACGCCAATACTCCTGACAATAAAGCAGTCAAGTGTAACGAATGCGAAGAGTGTACCATGGAGTTGGTATCGTAGATAATATGGATAATTTTTGACCCCTTGAGGCTAATAAAATTAATATTACCCTCTACCCAAGTCTTTATTCGCATACTATACTATAATATTTTTTATTTAAATCCATATACAAGTGCATTTTCGCCTTCGATGCTTATCATATTTGTGTGAGCATGAAAACGAATTACAGGTCTAAGAATGAATGACAGTTTTATTCCAAATGATTTGAAATTAACAAAACTGATAAGTGATAATGAATCATATTCTTAAAGATTTGGTGAAATGGAGACTGATAAAAACAGAAAGGATTTGGAGAGTACAAAATCAGAAGTTTCCTCAAATACCCCTGCAAGAAAGTCTTCTTGTCATAAATCGGCAAAAAACGATATAAACGCCACAATTATTGAAAGTACTTGTTGCCAATCCGTCTCAACAAATAATTCTATAACAGTGCTATATACAAGATGTGCAATGGACATTCCGATCTCTCCTATGTGTGAAAAAGATCATTCTATTAACTTTAACTTGTCTACCTGCAAACAGATTGATTCTAAAAATACTTTGAAGAATGTATTACCAAATGAACAAGGATTACCTTTTCAACAAGGTAATGTGGATACACTTCATTATTTCAATTTTTATTCTTTATCTCTTTTTAAAGATATATAAGCTGGGACAATAAAGAACGTACTGAAATATGTTTTATAAAAATTCTTTTCACAGAATACAGTGTCGAACAGCAGTTGATGGGTTCAAAAGAAATGACATCATCACAAGACACAGTCGTTACTACCTGTTTAGGGCATTCAGAAATCTGCCACCCTCCACTACCAACAATAGTAACAACAACGATAATACCACCATTCTCCCCACAAGATTCGTGTATCATTCAATCAATCAGTGACAATGACGCAGAAAAACAAAGTAGTGATACTAATTCTTTAGTACGAACAAGCCAGAGTACACCGGCTGACTCAGTTTCCCACGTGATGACGTCAGTTGTGACCACAGAGGGATTCAATGTAACGTCATCCACTTCATCATATTCACAAGATGAACATACACCAGCATTAACAGAGTCACTAGGAACATCCAGTATAGATTGTTCGGTGTCAACTCAATCAAACACCAACAATTCTATGCCATCGAATACTACTCTCATAAAGCATTCAAAACATACAGATAACAAAAACCTGATACAAAACTACACCCATCCACAACTCGTTCCCAAATGCCCCATTATTCCTCCTATGGAAATGAATTTCTTTCGATTTATGTTTCTTATTCTAAGAAGGGCGCCTATTGCCGTGAGAATTTACTTTGACACCCGTCATCCACCGTTAGAGTTAATGACAAATCTGGCAGTCAATAAAGAGTCTCTCTCAGCTCTGAAAGGGAGAGTTATCTCTCCTCAACAATGGAAGACCCTTTATCCACCCTCAGGTATTCTAACATTTTCAAGGGAAAAATAACATATTTCCATGTAAATCTGAATGCATACTAACCTGAAATGTTAAATAATGGAATTAATAGTTTATGTTTATTTATGAAATGTATGCGTCATGAACTAACAAACTGAAAGACTTTTTCAGGATATGTCAACTCAAGGCATTTTGATGTCACATTGCTGATTCTCCTCTTACGTTATATGACGAATGTTCCTGCTCCTGTGAGCGGTTTTGACAAACTCCCAGTACAAACAGATGATAGTGTTGGAGCAGACCTTGCAAGGATAAAGCATTACAGGAACCTTGTTTCCCATTCAAACAATGCAAAACTTACAGAGGAAGATTTCAATGACTATTGGACAGAAATTGAAAAAGTGTGTCAAATTTGGGAACAAATAACATAATTATTTATAATTGATTAATTTGTGAGCTAATAATGTGATTGATTTCACACATAGATGTATAAAATCACTTTTCTTTTGTTCAGGCTATAGGCAGATTAGGCGGTGAAGCTCAGCTGCTAGAAGCTAAGTCATTGAAGGAATCTCTTATTGAGGAAAAAGATAGGGAGTTGTTGTTAGAAATAAACGAATTAAGAGCCCCAGTGCCAAGATACTATTCCACGAAATATAAAAGGTATTATATACATATACTCGTACACTCTCAGCAAAATATCTTATTCCTAGACATTTTATCCAATCAATATCATATAAGATAATTCAAACAACTAAAAACTTAAAACAAGTTTGCTTAAAGTGAAAAAAACAGGCTTGTAAAAAATTTGCATCTAGGACATATAAAAATTATTGCCAATTGAAGTGCAAATTGTCATGGAAGTGCAGAAAAATATGTTTGACATTTAGCCGCGATAACGCATGATTTGATGGATTTTCCTTTGTTGGACCCCCAATACTCAAAACGTCAAATTTTGTACTTAATTCTGTTAAATTCGTCAGAATGCAATCTAAAATATAAACGAATAATAATTTTTTAATAGTTATATTTTGCTATTGAGAATTGCTTTTACCTCACATTTAATTATAGTTGTAAACCCTACAGTGTAGGCAAGAGTCATTTTAGAATTCACTTGGTACAAGTAAACAGATCAAAGCTGTAAGACCCTTGATTTTCCGGCAGATTCTAATAACGTTGATTTTGTATGAAGAGAGAGTATTTATGTTTCTCAAACTGCTGACTTTATACCTTATTCCTTAATTATAAATTCGATAAATTTGAATGAAACTAGAGGTACTGTGAGCAATGAACTCACTAAATGATACCCCCGCCTCACATATGATTATAATGGCAAACTCCATGTTTTGCTGTGGTCGGGAAACCCAATATATGTGTCGGATCAAAAAGTGAAATAGGAGGTGCACAATGGCAATATGTAATAAAGATTCTGTAAAAGTTTCATCAAATTACACTCTGTGGTAGGAGTTGCGGATAAGAGATGGGTACCCCAAAGCGTAACAGACAGACGGTGAGACGGACGGACGGACACACCGATTACAGTATACCCTCCCACTTTTCAAGCGGGGGGGGGGGGGGTAAAAAAAAAAACACACTGCAGCCGTACTGTCGCTTTTATAATAGTTTTTTGAGTTCAGTGTAGAGTGAAAAAAAGTCTAAATCTATAAAAAAATATATTTATAAATGTTTTCAAGGTTGTTTCAGTTCTTATCACTTCTGTGAGTAACTCTGAAAATACTTTATGAAAGTGCCATATAATTGCAATGGTCGCCCGGATTTGATATAATACAATAATTAAAATACTTAATGGAAAACCGGTATGAATTATTCACGTGAATCACAGGAATTTAAAAAATATTCGTTTTTTGAAAACCCGTGAAAATTTACCTTTAAAAAGGGCTGGATACAAATTCAAGATAATATTTTCACAAAGTTTCTGTATAATACCATACGTTATTTGTTACTTTAGCATTTCACACAGAAATATGAAAAAAAAACTTATCTTATCTGGAAATAATTTAACATGTACAATAACACAGGTTGTGCCCTGTTAATTAAAAAATTACGTTTCACTGGATGTGTTTCATTTGTAAACTCTGCACACATCACTGAGCACGCACTGACAATACTGGTGAGTTGTATTTGCTTTCTCACATTTCTACTATGAATTTTCTGGATTAGAGGTTAAATATTTTTCATTAATACACAATAATATTTCTTTTTTCCCCCTAAGAACTAAGGATAAAGTTAACTTTGTGAAAGCACAAGGATGTGGCGATCAAACCCGTCCCGAAATTCGTAGTTTCAATAATTTCCAATAAACTAAGTTTTCTTTAGTATATTTCCGTGTTAAATGCTATAGCAACATACATCACGATATCATATGTTAGAAAATTGAATAAAATGTGAACTTCAAATCTGTGTCACGGCCCCTTTAAAACGTGGACTAAAATGATACATTTATATATCATATTTTTTAAAAATACCCTTTTTTCTTTTACTTTAGAACAAATCAGTGACAAATTAGATATATGGTCAGAAGAGGACAATAAATTTTATGAAACTCGAGCATGTATAGAAATTGAAAAGTTGATTCAATCCGAAAAATGTGTGACTGTTATTGGAAACGCTGGAGCTGGAAAATCTGCCATTGTACATCACATTGCATTAAAAATGCAAAGGAATAATTATGTCGTTCTGCCAATTAAAGTTCCAAGCGAGTTTCTACAATATTTCGACGCGCATTCCGATCAAATATTTGTCATAGATGATCCATGTGGCGAGAAATGCTTAGACATTCATTTAGCACAAGAATGGAAAAGATATGAAGATGATATAAAACGTTCTTTATCAAAAAACGACAAAACTCGAATACTGATCTCATGTAGACTTTCGATTAGTCGTACACATCATTACAAGGATATAAATCTGTTTGATGAAGTCGAGGGCGAAATCGTCAATCTAGTGTCTGCGAAATTTTCACTCACTAGAGAGGAAAAGATGGTAATCTTTAAATCCCATACAAGTGACGAATTTCAGCTCAGCAAAAAAATTCTAGACTTGCATGATTGCTTCCCCTTATTATGTAAACTTGTATCAACCAATAAGAAATTTAAGAAAAACATAAAACGTTTTCTGAAGTTTCCTTATAAAGAGTACAATCATGAACTGGATGTACTGAGACACCATCCGACGCCATACGAATACTGTGCTCTTGCATTGTGCATCTTCTTTGACAACGGAATCCAACTTTCACATTTACAAAAAGGGAAAGATGAAAAGGTCGACGAAATATTTGATGAAGTTTACGAGGAGTGCTGTCTAGAACAGGGTACTTCCAGGAAGAGAATAAAACTAGCTTTGGAAGCATTAAGGGGGATGTACGGCCACCTTTAGTGCAGTGAGAACAAAATGTAAACATTTCTTCAAATGGCTAAAATACATTATATTTTGATCAAATTTTAGGTCTTTATGATGAAGATACAATAAATATGCATAACTGAATGCATGTTGTGCATATATAATCTATACTTTTGCAGAAAAATGCTTTTGTTATGCTCCTTAGAACTGCGCAGCTACAGAATTCAGCAAAGCCTTAAAAAATCCAAAAAAATACGCAAACTGTGCATTAATGTTCTCTCTACAACCATTTGTTGAGAAAATGTCTAAATTTTGTACTTTTAAATGATAATTTCAAGTTCAAAACAATGTATCATTGTCTTCAAAAAGAGTGTAAAGAACCATGAAAGTAGTTCATGGATAGCAGCACGTGGTCTATTTTTAGCACAGAATTTTGTTTTCCAGACCTCTTCTTAATATGGAGGGACATAACAATCTTTAAATGTAAAAGAGAATTACACTTGCAAAATATTTCAAATAATATGAACACTTTTAAAAGAGGAAATGTGTTACAGTGTTTCTTGAAGTAATTTATTTAGTATTATTATCGAACAGTTGTTAAATAGTGTACGTATTGATATAAAAAAAATCTTAAACTCTTTGATTCCAGGTAAGGAAAAATGAGCACCATCAAAGTTAAAAATTAAGAGTTTGTAAGTTTGCCACAGATAACTTATAATATCTATCAAAAGTTTAATTATCACCATTAAAACACAAAGAAAACACACACATAAAATCGATATGAATGACCTTGCTTTAGTACCTACTAGTACGAGGGGTGATAAAAAAGTTCGCGAACTATCTCTATACATGTGTATCTACAAAACCACAATTCAGATTAGAAACAAATTTGGTGCACAAATAGCCAAACACAAGTTCTATAAATAGCATATGCTGAATAAAGATTCGCTCACAAATGTGAAAATGACGTCATTATGCAGGTCACTTGTGACGAAAAATGGCTGTCTCAGTGTAACTCATTCAACAAATGACTAAAATATTTATGGTATATCTTAAAAATGCCTTTGAAGTAGCGTATAAGAATTTGTTCACAGTTTATTAAGACAAATGACTTCCTATAAATTCAATCAATGATTGGATAGATCGTTTTAGTGAAGGAAGGCAGATGGTTAAATATGATACTTGTTATGTTGCCCGATGAAAGCAAGTTTGAAAAGGGATGTGTTTTTAATTAAGCAATATGCTATCAAAGACCTCCAATTTACACTTAGAAAAATACTAGAATATTTCAACAATAATATAATTATCAAATACCTAAGATATCGTTTACTTTTTGATCACCCCTCGTATACTCTGTCAAATAAACATTTACAAATTTCATTACAGCGGAGCAACATTTGAAAAGGAATGAAATCATTCAGAGTGGGTTAGAAGATTTAATGAATAAAAAAACCTTTTTTTCTATTCGCCCGTTTTGTCAAAATCACAATTTTACAGAGTAAAGAAAAAAATCAACATAATTTAATATTTTATACCATCTTTAATGACGTTTGGTGGTCCTCCCAACTCGGGGAAAAATTATTGGGTCGGTATTTATAGGTGAGAAAAAAATTCCTTAAAATTTAAACATATTTGTTGACGGAAGAAAAAAAACCGTGTAATGGGATGTAAAAAAAAATTGAGTCGGGCCATTTCTAGGCAGTAGATCGGGAGAGAGGGCAACCAAATATTTTTATAACAAATGGTCTTATAAGGCTAGTACATGTTCCATCACATACTTAGTAATGCAAACTTTTTGAATCTTTGGCACTATTTTGAAAACAAACGTACTAGGATTTTCGGGGGGGGGGGGGGGTAGCCTCTCACTTTTTTGTGCGATGATAGACATAGCATATGCAATGGACCTTTCTTTGCAAACATTGTGCTTGCTTCTAAATTTCAAAGAAACAACTCAATATATTTTATCAAGCTTCGTATGTTCAATGAGCGAGAGCTTACAACGTTGTCAACATAGTGAGACATGATGCGTTTTTATGTCCAAACATTACTCCATACAATGTGTGGGTCATTGCAAACAATCAAGCATTTTATGTGAGGTGCCTGAAGGAAATCTGATAACTGCCTATTTTTTCTATCTAAATGCTAAACAAAATAGACATATGTACCAACTTTTCGAATGTAAGACATGTAATTACACTTTGTTTTTCATGCACCGCATATTGTTTAACATTTTCAAATTAAATGCTAAGCATCCTCCTTGCAGTGCCCCATTTGAGAATAACTTCTATCGCCACAGAAAAAAGACCCGACGTAAACACATATGTTTAGGACATTTTTTTTCTTTTTTCTTGAGTTTGAAAGAAACCAACAAATTATCAAGACTTGTTCCATGAAAAATTAAATATAATCATGGTAATAAACGCATCTATCCACAGCAGATATATGCACGTGCCAACCACGTGCTCAGTGGAATGATATTATCGAGGAAACTCGAGCTTTAAACAGAACAGTTTTTCCCGATTTGCTGGAGTGGGGTTAAAATCGCGTTTTTTCATTAATCAGACGATGCGATGCAACAAATAAAAGTAGCAAGTAATATAACCTAATGATTATTACTTAGTAATTTCTTGTCTTGATGTTATTATGGTCGCATTTATTCTAAAATCAATGTTATTCGAACTCTGTGTGACAGAGGAATGGCGGACGAAATAAACACATGGCCTCAGGAAGACACCCATATGAAAAATCAAATTTTCAAGAATTTTGGATAATGACAAGAAAAAAGCGAAACAAATGGTTGTAGCCATGTTATCAATGAATCAAACTAACACCATTTTCAATGCATATTTCATCTCGTGAATGCTGTAGCTGCGCAGTTCTAACATGATTAATTTCCTCCTATTTAAAACAAAGTAAACTTAATTATTTACTAATTTTGGTCTCTAACAGTAGGTAATTAGTGCATTAGCACTTTGAGTAACTTTGGGCTAGTTTAGTAGAGTATTAAGCGCATTCTTAGTATTTCTTATTTTACACCAGACTAGATCCAATATGGCTTGTACATCCCCCTTAACAGATTCCTTTATAATAAAGGACGGTGATGCTTATAAATTACTACATGCCAAATTGACAGAAATTATAGCATGTCATTTTGCAAAGGAATCTCTTCAACTCTTGATAAAGTTTGCTCCTATGTGGATTTTGGATGCAAGACTTAGAAATCCGAGTCGCATGTCAATTCAAGATATAGATGAGAGTGAATACTTTATTCTCCTAAATTCACTTTGTAAACCTGTTCTTGCTGAAAGAATATTAAATCGTTTGGAATCGGAGAGCATCTATTCAAATCAAGAGGATTATATGGAACAAACAGAGGATGTTTATGATTTACTGTTTAATCTTTGCTTTCCTGATGATCAAATAGATTTACTCCTATTCGATGGATTGAAGTCTAATGGAAAATTAAATTTCATTTTGCATCAACGAAGTTCTATCGGAAATCCAAGAATCGTGAATTATATAGAATACAAAAAGAAATCAAGAGAACAGGAATCCGAAAAGGAGGAATTAAAAAAACTTGGTATACCAACTCAGAATAACTGGACACCGTTGATTCCTCCCTTCAAAATAATCGCTTTCTACAGCGGCGATATGCGATACTTTTACAAACGGTTATCAGCGGAACAACTTCTTGAAATAAATGAAAATAACTTTCTTTTTTGGTTAGTTGGTGCAGGGTGGACTCATTTCTTGGAACGCTCATTAGAAGTTGCTGACACAGACTTAAAGGATGAGTTATTTAAATGTAAAAATACAGCTTTTCTCTTGTCATTACTAAGTGGTAATTTACATATGGTAAAATTCTGTTTTAAAATGTTAGGTCCAGATTTCAATGGGACATATACCTGTTTCCTGTGTAAACAGACTTGTGATTCATCTAAACATTTTAGACATAATTGTCTTGTAGAAGGTCTAAATTTCATAACTGTGCCATGTATTATTGGGAAGAAAGAAATTTTGGAGTTTCTTCTCACAGAAAAAAATTTGTAACAGGGATGACATAAACAAGTTTGTTTATTATCAATACCATTCAGTAACACCACTTACTGCAGCCTGTAGAATTGGTCATACTGATATAGTAAACTTACTGATTCAGAATGAAGCACTTGTGAATCTGAAAGACAAAAACGGCAATACTCCTCTTGTTGTAAGCTGTGAAAATGGAAACACTATAGTTGTACAAATGTTGGTGGAAAATGGTGCAGATTTAGAGGAAAAATGTTGTTTAGACATGTTTGAAAGCGACTTCATTCTAGATACTTTTGAAGATGAACTGGAAGAGGAAGGTTGGTCAGCACTTTGGTGGGCGTGTTACGGGGGACATTTAACAATTGTCTCGTACCTGCTTGATAAAGGTGCAAATTTTCAAAATACAAATAAGTCAGGCAAAACTCCTCTCTGGGCTGCAATACAAAGTAAGAATTACGAGATGGTTGCTTTACTCATGGAAAAAGGCTTGAATGTGAATGATCAAGATAAGAATGGAAGAACACCTATATGGTGGGCTTCAAATGTAGGTCAACACGAAATTCTAATCCTCTTTCTCAATCTAAAAGGAGATGTCAATATTTACGACAATAATGATATATCCCCATTGTACACTGCATGCTACAGGAACAATATTAGAACCGCAGAGCTGCTGATAAAACACGGCGCGAAAATTAATGCAAATTATCCATCGAATTGGTTTCCCTTCTCATCAGATCTGGTGCCGATGTTAACAGTACATTTGAAGGGATTTGCTCTCCTCTCTCTATTGCAACATGGTCTTCTTTCAAGAGTGGAATGACACTATTAATAGAAAACGGTGCTAATGTCAACATGAAGTTGAATAAAGGACAAACTGTACTCATTCATTGTATATGGAATACTGATGATGTTGCTCATAAACTCCGTTACAGATTACATGATATAAGTGCAAAAGACGATATATGTTTTAATTTTTATCCCGATACTTCAGAAAACTTTCCTGAACTTCTGTCTCTTTTAATCGAGTACGGAGCTGATCTGAACTGTCAAGATGACAATGGATTAACAGCACTTATGGGTGCCGTCTTGTACAAAAGAGATAGAGATCGTACAAAAATTCTGTTAGAGAATGGAGCTTATGTTAATTTGCAGAATAAAGATTCGCAGTCCGCTTTACATTATGCATGTTTTAAGCAGAATCATGAAGCAGTTTCATTATTAATAGAATATGGAGCAAGTATAAACGCAAAAGATGTCCATGGATTGACGCCATCACATATCGCATGCGAACTTTTGGATGAAGAGACTCTCGACCTTCTTCTAAACAATGGAGCAGACATTAATGTAATTGACAACATGGGATTTACCCCATTACTTCGTTTACTTTATCTTGAAGTATCTGTAAAAATAAGTAAAAAGGGCAATGATTTTAATGAAAACGAGGAGGAAAAAAGAAGATCAGATTGTGTGGTTGCCATCGCTCTGAAGCTACTAGACCATGGTGTTGATCCGATGGCATGTGCATTTGGTTACAATGCACTGTTTTTAGCAATGGCGTTGGGCTATAGAAAACTTTCGGAGGTATTGCTTGAGTTTGATGAAATGGATGATTCGGGTAAAACAAGTATGAACGATAAGACATAAAAGCTTGTACAGAAACAATAAAAAAAATTGTCCAAAACCTTGTGGTCAGTAGTTTTAAACTCATTCAATATTTTCCCAGATAGACAATTTTGTAAATACATGTATATTATTTGTATGAACATGTAAATTTGTTAACTAGTTAAATTTTTAATGTGCAAATATATTGATATTTATACGATGATTGTTCGGTATTGTTCACTTTATTATGAGCATGCTATGTACATGAAATCAATATACATGTATTAAACTCTGCAGAATAAATGTACTTATTTTCTAATAAAATTTATAAAAGGATTTTTTCGAATGATATTTAAAATATATATACAGATGCATCATTATGTGAAATATATATATATTTTTCTCTCTCACAACAATTTTAATAAGCGATGTTTAGAAAATAATAAATAAATTCAAAGTTAACAACTTATGGACAATGTCTTATTGCTTGTACATTTGTATTAGATTATCAGTGTCAAAAAAGGGAATGGTAAAATCATTAAAAATCTTTCCCACGGAGCTCTTCATAAAAATATGTGCCGTGAGTGAGTGAGTGAGTGAGTGAGGAACACAATTCTCAAAAGTGACACAAAAATGTTTTTTTTTTGGTTTTATAGACGTTGCAAGTGATTGTCTACGAGTAAAGAGCCAAGCAAAATTTCGAATGGAGGCAGGGCAGCTTTTAGGGATGGAAGAATGTAGCTAAACATTTTAGGGATGGAAGAATGTATCTAAACATTTTAGGGATAGAAGAATATATCTAAACATTTCAGGGATAGAAGAATATATCTAAACAACGCAGAGAGGAAAATGAAATGTTAATTGATAAAATTAACGTCGTCAGTATATCCAAATGTCAAATTGAAGGTAATCCGGTATATCTTAAAATAAATTAGAATTCATATATGATTTGAGAAAAATTTCTCATTAGTTATTTTTTATCATTTCAAATCACATTGAAATCACAAGATTTTACCAAAATGAACAGCTTAAAAACTTACGACTTTTCAACTTGATACACAACAATTCCCCGCGATAAATTAAAGTTCATGCTTTTTTATATCATTGACAGCTGCTTTTTCAATAACTCGTAAATTTACTTACTTGGTCATTGGTCATTTGCAAAATTATTTTGTTAAAACACATTCTGATTGCACAAACAAGTACGCTGAAGTTGACGTCAAAAAGATGCTTGAGTTTCTGATTGACAATATCCATGTGGGTTTCGGAGACCAGGTCTTCCAACAATCTATTGGAATTCCCATGGGTACCAATTGCGTTCCGTTATTAGCAGACCTATCTTTGTATTCATATGAAGCAGAATTTGTGCAAATTCTTATGCATGAAAAGAAGAAAACACTTGATGTGGGCTTCAACTCTACATTTAGATATATGGACGACGTATTGTCAATTAACAATGATAATTTCCATTCCTACGACGATACGATATATCCGGGAGAGCTTGAGATAAAAGATACCACAGAGTCTGACACATCTGTTTCATACTTGGACGTTTTTCTTAAAAAAAGACGTTAATTTTAATATTACAACCAAGCTATATGATAAACTTGATGACTTTAATTTTTCTCTCGTCAACTTACCTTACTTATGCAGCAATATACCTTCATCACCTGCATACGGAATGTCTCAGTTGATTCGATACGCAAGAGCATGCTCTACGTATGAACAATTTCTAAAACGAGATAAGTTATAGAAAAGCAAGTTGATGAAACAAGAATATCATCAGTCATCATTTCGTAAATAATGACCTTGTCAGCAAATACAATTTATCATTAAGTCAAATGCTGATTGGGTTTTTTTTATACTAATTGTTAGTCCATTATTTATACATTGAATTGACGACGGATTTCCCGTTATATCCCGATCATGACAAGGAGCACACAGCGGGTGTGACAGGTCAGCAGGAGATGCTCACTCCTCCATGGCACCTGATCCCATATCTTGTGTTTCGGAGGTCCTTGTTTGCTCTGCTCCTGTTTTGTATTGTTTTATGAAATTTGATATTGAATACTGTTCGTTATCTCTAAATCCTTCATTTATGCCCACACTTATATACTAACGTTGAAAAAAATCTTATTTAAAAAACTCTTACTGGTACCTGAATGATGTGGTGCTCGAATAGCAAGTCAGGTAGAGTGATTAGATATTTGACTTATTTAAGTACAAAAAAATCATATATTGATCACAGATTTAAAAAGAACTTGTATGGTTGCAGCAGCACCTTTTTTGTGGTCACACTTAAGCCATATACATATATGGCGTATTTTTGATTATCGCAGATAATCAAAACTGAAGAGCTCTTTCTATTTTTTATAATATAACCTCATATAATTTGAGAAAGGACTTATGCAAATAACACAATTTAAATTAATCGTGTTTCTAATTTTAAACAATTATGCGACTCAAAATTTAAAATGTAGACAAATTTAAAGTAACTAGAGATAGGGAGATGCTGAGAACATTTGCAGGTAGTATTCTATTATTTTGCTACATCGATATTAGAAGCGATATATGTGAGAATAAACAAAAAATCCTCAGTCCCCTTTCGTTGTTTAATATGCCATTAACTCCTGTCTTCAGTAAACATCTAAATGTAAGCAGAGGAGGTAGATTCTGTAGTATCTTTTATTCCGACTTCACTGGGAATAAATTATGAAATATATCTCTCTTCCTATTTTGAGCAAGAACAAATAAAACGCATGATCCATTCATTATCAACTCTATTCTTTTATTCTTTTCTATCAATTCAGAATCATATAAAATTTCTTGTAATTAAAAGATTTCAATGTAAATGTTCCCATGTTTACAATACCGGTATGTACATGTAATGTTTTTAAGAAATATATTTCAAATGCTTGTAGCTGTATTCATACATATATTATTTGCTATTACTTAATTATTACAAGAAATAATTTCCATGGCAACAGTAATTATTTCTGAACTGGTTACAAATGGAACATGTCATTATATTAATGAATATAAAATCAATGCTTCACCCCCCCCCCATTTTTCAAAAATAGTTTTACTGTGAATTTATCGTTAAAATCTGTGCCACTCCCCAATATCGTAGCATAGTGAAATGTACCTAGAATTTAAAAGTTGGAATAAACTGTTTATTATATTCATAAAAACCTTTATTATACCCCCCGCTTGAAAAGCGGGAGGGTATATAGTAATCGGTATTTCCGTCCGTCTGTACGTCCGTCCGTCCGTCCGTCTGTTACGCTTTGGGGTACCCATCTCTTATCCGCAACTCCTCTCATACCACTGAAGGAAATTTAATGAAACTTTCACAGAATCTTTATTACATATTGCCATTGTGCACCTCTAATTTTACTTTTTGATCTGACATATATTTTGGATTTTCCAGAGCAAAACATGGATACTGCCAATATATTCATATGGGAGGCGGGGGTATCATTTAGTGAGCTCATTGCTCACAGTACCTCTAGTTTAAAAAGGAATGAAGACAATCCAGGCTTGAACTAGAGTAAACCTTGTAAACATGACAGAGATCGGACTCTATTTTACATCGAAAATGAAAAAAATACATTATCACATAATCTAGATGTAGCGGAACAAAATGACTGAAAAATGTGATGTTTGTAGGTTGGTTTTTCACATACAAATGACAAAGTGTACGTTGCTTAGTGTTTTAATTTAAACAATATTAAATACTTTAAGAGATCTCGCAAATCGTTGACAAACTCACAAGATATAAAAATATTACAACATAAATATCTCCCAAAGATGAGTCTGAGTCTTTTCCTTATAAATTGAGACGCATTAAATTTCTTACTTGCATACTTAAGTTTGGTCAAATGAAATAACCTCTATGTTCCAATAAAATTGTCAGATTGAATAATTTCGAAAAATTCCTTTTTTTTGTATTTAAAAAACCCCTTAATATATAAAATGCGGATACTTAACATTAGATAAAATGTATCTTCTGGTCTTTTCGAGACCAAGGTGGGAAACGAATTTACTGTCTTTCATGGGATATTTATTTTATATTTTGGAAGCAATACCAAATTAGTTAGGTTAAATAAAAATACTGAAAAAATCAATGAACCCATCACCTACTACCTCATCAATCATAAGTTGACGTAGTTAACGATTGAAATATACACCAAGCTTACGTAGTTAAAAAAAACTAGGATGGTTGATTATTCCGTTAGTAACTTTCGATAGCTTTATCGTTGAATAAAAAGGAGGAAAGACTGTCGCTATCGGATCTGCAAGATTTCCTATTGCTATCAATTTGTATCTCATTGGACAAGTCCTGTTTCTATTAAGGACATGCTTTTCTCAGTGCTTTGACTAAAAAAAATTGTTAATCAGTCAATTATGAAAATTCTTCAGTAACAGGTTTTAACATTTTGAGCAATGCTGGCATGGGAATGTGCATGATGGTTTGTTACAAGTTTACATTATGTTTGTCAGCGGATTGGATACGAGAAAAAGAGACAATCTAAACACGAGATACTAGTATATACTACACCAGCCAAGTGGAAAGTTGTGCTTAAGATTTAAAGGTTTATCAAGTCTTTTGTACATTCTTAGACGCAAATGAAGAGTATATTGAAAGGTTTAAGAAAAAAAGAATGCTTGCAGTTTGCCATTTACTTTGTCCACATTATTGGTAAAATGAATTATTTTGATAGTTAACAGGAGATCCTAAGTGGGCCAAAGACCATATAAGTGACATGTAACCAACTGTTTAGCCGAGGTGAACAAACAGCAGCCGGCGGAGAACGAAACAACTGAACCAGCATTAAACACAACACATATAACAAATAATCTCTGTCAGCTAGACTGTGGAAAGAATGGTCACTGCTCAGAGGGTAACATAGATAAAAGAAGTTTATTTGGTATTTAAAAATTAAAAATTAAAGTTTTCAATTAAAAAAAACGTAGCAATTTCCTCACATGATGTACCATCTATTAATCCCAGGGAACCTGAAATAAAGGAAACCACACAGTCTAAACATCTCTGTTTCAAATTTGAAGACGTAGATAATTCAATAGTACAGTTCATTTGTGTTTCATTTTGAAAATCTCATCATGAATTTACGCACAATTTAATTCTTGATAAACATTCAATTTGACTGACTCGTACAATTTATCTGACTTTTCAGGAGTCTGTGTGTGTGATGAGGGATATTCTGGTATCCAGTGCGACATCTACAAAACCACCAAACCTTCGGTTATGGAGAACTGTTTAATGGCACCAGTTGTGATACGTGTGGTAGTAATACACAGGATGTAGAAAACTGTAGTACAGCCATTATATATGGAGCTAATTTCGTGGACTCGTCGACTCTGACGTGTCATTACAAATACGTCAAGGTTCTGGTTCTCTTGTAAACTTGTAATCAATCATTTAATAATGTATATTTTCAATAATTAATAAAGAACTACTCGCTTATTGGATGCGGATTTTTTGTGCATACCTGAAGGAAATTTTATTTTGACAGATGATATAATAAAAAAAAGAAGAGTGTTGCAAATATCTGTATTCGATTTTAAGATTTTAATTCAAGTGGACAAACTTAATTTTTCTTTTATTTGCAAACAGATAGAAAATGATGTCGTAACAACTACAGCAATGAGAACCGTTTCTGGTGATTTTATAAATATGAATCAGATCTCGTGCAATCTCCCAGAATCTCGTGGAGGTGCTCTCATTCAGGTCAGCAACGATAGTCAAACCATGAGTGAGAATCTCGTGGAAGTGCTCTCATTCAGGTCAGCAACGATGGTCAAACCATGAGTGAGAACCAATACCTTCATCTTGTGTATGATTCCAGGTGCTTTGATTGTTCCATCGCAGACGATATCATGAAGTCCAGTTGTAAAGTGAAAGTAAGCGTTGTATCCTCCAATTATCATTTGGAACTCTCAATTTTCATTATTTTTATCCGTATCTACTTACAAACAACTTCCTAACATGTATTTTGGACTGATTGCAGGAAAACACATGTCTTATTAACAGCAAATGTCAGGCCTTGATGGAGGAGAAGGAAACCGACTACTGTAAACTCTGTGATCCGTCTGTTAGCACTTCATCGTGGACAAACAGAGACAGTATGTACTTCAAAAGATATGGATTTAAGCTACATCTAAATTTATATGCAGAAATCAGCAAAATATAAAAATTAAACAGAAGTAAAACAGTCTCGAGTTTCTTTGAAAACATTTTTAAAACTGGTTCCTCTCGGTTTTACAACAACAGCTGAGAAATTCAGACAAGAGTTTGCGGCTATCCAGGTGTCTAAATCAAAGTCTGATGACGGATACAGTAGTGAGCTGGTCACCCTTCTGGCAGCGACCTGTGGTGTCATCGGATTCTTCTTACTTGTGACACTCTTCTACATATGTAAACAAAAGTGAGTTTTTCTAATTGACCTTATAACACGATCGATCGTGGCAAAGAACTATTTGGCAAACATCTGAGTTGTATTTTGATAAGCCTTAAAAAAAGATTGTGCTGTTTTATTCTATTTCAATTTATGTAGTTGAAAACTTTTTAACAAGTAGGTTTTAAAGATCTAACTTTGTCTCCTTTCTAATATAAACTCAGTTTCTTTTAATCAAGGTCAAAGTTAGTGAGAAAAGGTCAACTTCCATGTGCACATTGTTATGCAAAGTAATGAATATTGAAAAGAAGTCCTGTTTATCAATGGAATATTTATAAACTTTAAATTCCGCCTTTCATTGTAGAGAAAGGCTGCAAAAACGGAAAGAGGGAGGTCTGTACAATGTTTACAAAGAACCTACACATGATATTCCACAAACCTCAATGATGAAGGAGAGAGAGATTGAATTTCACAATCCAGCTTATGCAGAGGAAAAAAGCAAACTGTGATTGGTGGAAGGCACAAAAATCTCGTATTGAACACTAATATATCACTTTTTATTGTTAACCAGTCCTGCAGGCAGGGAACCGTGACGCTAGTACATTTCAGTTATTTAAGAAGGACATTATTTTACCAATGTTTTATGAAGGACATTATTTTACCAATGTTTTATTTTGAATTGAAAAGAATAATCATGTATGTTTTAGAAACATCACTGAAGTGTTTCAATTTAAACTTCTTACTGAACTGTTTATGTTTTGTTAAACAATTTTTTTAGAAATAAAAGTTCTGGATTTGTTCCTTTGTCTTCTTGCTTAACTGTTTTTGTATTGCGAAGCAAGATTTCTAGAATTAAAAGTGTTGGGTTTGCTCCATTGTCATTACATGTATTCAATAATGTTTGATGGACCCGAAAGAGTGAAAGAGTTTTACCTGTAACCATACATAGGCAATTTCGCCACATATGATCCACATATGCATTGCCTTTCATATGAGGATCATATGTGAATCATAGGAAATGCAACATATAATTCATATATGATGCCTTTTTTTTAGGTTTCTCATATGAGGTTTATTTAGGAATAATGTAGTAAAATACTTAAGACCAAGGATTATTAAATGGCAAAATTGAAAATATGCAGCAAACATCCTTTACAACTAAACAGTAAATATGTTTGATTAATGGACAATGAAATGGACGGTATATAAACATTATTTCACCTTTTCTATCGTCACTTTTCCTTATTTTTGTAGTAAAATACAGCTGTCACTTGAATATGGAGTTTATGTCTCTCAGTTGATTCGATACCAAGGACGAGACAAGTTATTGACAAACAAGTAGCTGAAAAGAGTCAACCAACAATCTCGTTGAGCAAGCTTTTTTAGTTTTATGTCCGATTCAATGACCTTGGAAGGGTATTGAAACTATCGATATGCCAAATGATTTTTAAAATTTATAGATAGGCCCTTATCTACACACTGAAATTTCTACACACTGAAGTTTTAATTTCTTATTCGTTTGCTCGATCGTGACAAGGTACACATGCCAGGTACGACCAGTGGACAGGAAATAATTAGTCCTTCCTGGTACCTGATCCAAGTTCTGTTGTCTTAGAGAGGTTCGAATTTCCTCTGCTCCCGATCTGTATTGTTCCGATATGTAATTGTAATTAAACTTGTTCGTTATTTCCATATTTCACATATTATATTCATAATATCAAAAGATGTTTAAATAAAATTATACCAAGGTAATAATAGTTACTGTTTTCTGTTGCCGAATATGAGCAAAGTAAATTGGGTTTTTGAAATATAAGAAAATATTGGTAAATATACGAGGGTTGTCCGTAAAGTTCGTGGACAACATTGATACTTATTAACAAACATTAAAAAATATATGAAACTATTATTTTCATTAAATTAATGTTTAATTTTATACATATGTAAATTTTAAACAAAAAGAAAGCACAGACAGTTATATCTTTATCAGATACAAAAAAAACAAACAAACAAAACAACAACAACAAAAAAAAAACAAGCAAAGAAACAACTCACAATCATTCCCACAGCACTAAAATGAAAATCCTCGACGTTTTTCGACGTCAAAAGCTTTAATACATTTGCATGTAACTTTTCTCAACACAGTCACAGTTTTACTCAATACATTTCTTATGTCGCTTTAAGCAGTCATCAAAAAATAAATGAGTACAAACTGTTCAGATTTCATATGTAATATAATATTGAACACTTTCTGTCTCAGATCATGCAAATCATTAAACCTTTGTCCGCGTAAAACGACTTTATTTAAGGGAAAACGGCAAAGTCACGTTAGGAAACTTATTTTACAGCACTGCAATCTCGGAATGATGGTCTTTCTTCAAGCATGTCATCCTGAACTGGTCCTTCCGGTCGAATTTTTGAAAATTCCACTTAAATACTTAAGAACAGTTTCCTTTACTTTTCCGGACTGTTTACAAAGGTAATCTAACAAGCAAGCTATATGATAAACGTGATGACTTTAACTTTTCTATCGTCATCTTCCCTTACTTATGCAGCAATATACCTTCATCACCTGCATACGGAGCGAGTATATATATCTCAGTTGATTCGACACGCAAGAGCATGCTCTACGTATGAACAATTTCTAAAACGAGGTAAATTATTGACAAGCAAGTTGATGAAACAAAAATATCAACAGTCTCGTTTAAAGTCATCATTTGGTAAGTTCTATGGTCGATACATTGACCTTGTCAGCAAATACAATTTATCGTTAAGTTAAATGCTGACTGACTTTATACATACCAATTGTTAGTCTATTATTTACACACTGAATTGACAACAGATTTTTTTCCGTTATTTCCTGATCTTGACAAGAAGCACACGGCGGGTGTGACCGGTCGGCAGGGGATGCTCACTCCTCCATGGCACCTGATCCCACCTCTGATGTTTCGGGGGTCCGTGTTTGCACTGCTCTTATTTTGTATTGTTTTATGGACTTTGAGACTTAATTCTGTTCGTTATCTCCATATCCTTCTTACAGCATTTATGGGTTTCTGTTGGTGTATTTCCGATGTCTACGCAAAATGTTATCACTGCTCTCTCCACCTTTTATTTTTGCTATAATTGCTTGCAATTATTTTTCTTTAATAACCAACAGGGGTTCGAGTATATTCAATTTCGTTGTTCAACCTATTATAGAATTTTATTTTGATTGTTCTATTCAATTGTAAGGCTGTTGTTTTTATACGAATTTCGACTTCTGATTCATTCATGTACTTAAGTGATAAATAGAAGATGCTTGCTCTCTGAAAACTCTAGCAGTCCATGTTTTATGCTTACCTTACAGTTTGTACCGTAATTAGTTCTTTTGAGTTCGATCAATTTCGTTTTACTAGCTCTCTCTCATTTCATGTTCGGCCCTGACGAACATATAGATTCATAATCCTATAAAAACATTCTTAAAGGTATTTAAACCTGTAATGTGCTCAATTGACGACACAAGTACACACAATTATGCTTTTTAAATATTTCTGTAATTCATCTCATCGATCTCATGATAAGATATCCCATACATGGACAAACTTTGGATAATTCCCTTGTTAACTCGCTAGGTAAGTGCATTTATATTTCTGGTAGTTTAAGTAGTAATATAATCTAAATTTATTTGTTTTATGTGTGAGTTAATATTATAGGTAGGCGTCATAGAATTTCACTTGTGTATATAATCTGAATAACTTCATAATTCATTCATGAAAACTTAATGTTAAATGAATTAGTAACTTAGAATAACGACCAGGACACATAAAACGTGTTGCTGGGGAACATATCAAGTACATTAACGTTAGGATGATCAAAAAAATCATAAACCCATTCAGGGCAACAGGTTAACACTATGATCGATAATCGATTACTTTCCAGATATCTTTTGTTACTATACCCTTCTGTTTTTTGATATCTAGTTAATGGTTTGATAAAAATTACTAGTAAGAGGCTCAAGGGCCACCTGAATGTTTCAGCAGATTAAGCTTTGTTACTCAAAAGCAAGAGAAAATACAGATGATCAAGATTAACCTTTCTAATACATTATTTACATTTATAAATTATCAAAGGTAAGTGACAAAGGGGAAGAACTTCTCTCGGTAAAATACAATGTTCAGTTCACAGGTAGAACCAAAACACTTGCAGAACACAAGCCTCCGGCCGACACGCCCAAAAAGAGAAGAAAATGATGTCTGCTACGAGGTTTATCTACGGTGTTTTTGATGGCGATAGCTTTTCACTAAACCTTCTATTACTACAGATTAAGAATCTGCCTCTTTTTTTATTCTTCTCCAACCACTGTTCATTATTTTAATTTAGGTTATATTATATGCATGATGCATTTTAAGATTTTGTCAGTTGTTTGTCTCAATAAATGTTTCAATGGGATGTTTAAGTGTGTAACTGAAAACCATTTTGGCTACCGATTTAGAACTTGTACATACATAGAGCACGCTCTTGCGTATCGAATCGACTGAGGGATATATAAAATCCATATGCAGGCGATGAAGGTATATTGCTGCATACGTAAGGGAAGTTGACGATTGAAAAAGTCAGTCATCACATTTATCATAAAGCTTAGTTATTAGATAATCATTAACGTCTTTTTCAAGTAAATTAAAATTAATACTATCCTCACCCAAGTATACTATCTATTATTTAAATTCATATACAAGTGCATTCTTATCATATATGTGTATGAATGAAAACAAAATACGTACATGTCATGGAAAAATGACAGTTTTATATCAAATGATTTTAAATTAACAAAACTGATGAATAATAATAAATCATATTCTTTTGAAGATTTGGTGAAATGGAGACTGATGAAAACAAAAAGGCTTTAGAGATTACAAAATCAGAAGTTTCCTCAAGTACCCCTGTAAGAAATTCTCCTTGTCATAAATCGGCACAAATCGATATAAACACCACAATAAATGAAAATACTTGTTGTCAACCGGTCTCAACAAATAATTCTATAACAGTGTTATATACAAGATGTACATTGGACGCTCCAGTCTCTTCTGTGTGTCAAAAACATAATTTAAAGGATTTCAACTTGCCTACTTGCAAACAGATTGATTCTGAAAACACTTTGAAGAATGTATTACCAAGTGAACAAGGGTTACCTGTTCAACACAGTAATGTGACAGACTTTATTTTTTCAATAAGTCTTTATCTCTTTTAAAGATATAATGTAAAATATAAGCTAGAACAAAAAGGAACTTTTTGAAAAATGTTTTAACAATTTTTCTTTTCACAGAATGCAGTGCCGAACAGCAGTTGATGAGTTCAAAGGAAATGACATCATCACAAAACACAGTCTTTACCTGTTCAGAGCATTCAGAAATCTCCCACCCTCCACTACCGACAACAGCAACAACAACAAAAACAACAACGGCCATGTCAATACTACCATCCTCCCCAAAAGATTCGTGTATTATTCCAACAAGCAGTGATAATAACTCAGAAGAACAACGTAGTGAGTCTAAATCTTCAGCACGAACTAGTCAGAGTGCAATGGCGGACTCAGTTTCCAACGTAATGACGTCAGATGTGATTACAAAAGAAGTGAAGACAACGTCATTCTCTTCTTTCCATTCACAATATGAACATTCGCCAGCATTAACAGAGTCACTAGGAACATCCAGTAGAGATTCTTCTTTGTCAAGTCACTTAGACACCAACACCTCTATTCCATTGCATACTACTCTCACAAATCACCCAAAACATACAGCTAATACAAACGTTACACAAACCTACACCCATCCACAACTCGTTCCCAAATGCCCCGTTATTCCTCCTATGGAAATGAATTTCTTTCGATTTATGTTTCTTATTCTAAGAAGGGCGCCTATAGCCGTGAGAACTTACTTTGACACCCGTCATCCACCGTTACAGTTAATGACAGATCTGGCAATCAATAAAGAGTCTCTGTCTGCTCTGAGAGGGAAAATTATCTCCTCTCAACAATGGAAGACCCTTTACCCTCCTTCAGGTATTCTACCATTTTTCAAAGGAAAAATAACATATTTGCATGTCAATTTGAATGCATGCTAACCTGAAATGTTAAATAATGGAATTAATAGGTTATGTTTATTTATGAAATGTATACGTCATAACATTATCAAACTGACAGACATTTTCAGGATATGTCAACTCAAGGCATTTTGATGTCACATTGCTGATTCTCCTCTTACGTTATATGACGAATGTTCCTGCTCCTGTGACCGGTTTTGACAAACTTCCAGTACAAACAGATGATAGTGTTGGAGCAGACCTTGCAAGGATAAAGCACTACAGGAACCTTGTTTCCCATTCAAACAATGCAAAACTTACAGAGGAAGATTTCAATGACTATTGGACAGAAGTTGAAAAAGTGTGTATAATTTGGGAGCAAATAATATAATTGATTTATAATTGATTAACTTGTGAGCAAATAATGTGATTGATTTGACGCTTAGATGTAAAAATCACCTTTCTTTTGTTCAGGTTATAGGAAGATTAGGCGGTGAAGCTCAGCTGCTAGAAGCTAAGTCATTGAAGGAATCTCTTATTGAAGAAAAAGATAGGGAGTTGTTGTTAGAAATAAACGAACTAAGAGCCCAGTACCAAGATACTATCCCACGAAATATAAAAGGTATATACATATACACTCTCGATAAAACATTTTTAAGACATTTCATCCAACCAATATTATATAATATAATTCAAACACTAACCTGAAAACATGTTTGCTTAATAATGGTTTTTGAGTTTAGCGTAGAAAGAAAAATGTCTTAATCTATAAAGAAATATATTTATAAATGTTTTCACAGTTGTTTCAGTTCTCATCACTTCTGTAAGTAACTGTAAAGCTACGCTATGAAATTAGTGTCAGTTGCAATGGTCGTCTGCAATTTAATTAAATGCAATAGTTAATGATACTTAATGATACGTAATAATAATAATTAATGGAATATTAATAATTCACATGACTCACGGGAAATTAAAAAAAATCTTCATTTTTGTAAAACCTGATAATTTCACTTTAAAGGGGGCTGGATACAAATTCAAGATAATATTTTCTCAAAGTTTCTGTATAATATCGTAAATCATTTGTTGCTTCAGCATTTCACACAGAAACAGGATAAAAAACCTAATCTAATCTGGAAATAATTTAACATTAACAATAACAGAGCTTGTGCCCTGATTATTAAAAAAATTACGTTTCACTGGATGTGTTTAATTTGTAAACTCTGCACGCATCACTTGAGCACGCACCGACAATACTGGTGAGTTGAATATGCTTTTCACATTTCTACTATGAATTTTCTGGATTAAAGCTTAAATATTTTTCATTAATACACAACAAAATCTCTCTTTGTCATACGTACTAAGGAAAAATTTTCTTTGTGAAAGCACCGGGATGTTCCGATCAAACGCGTCCCGAAATGTCGTAGTTTCAATTATTTCCAGATAAACTAAGTTTTCTTTATTATATTTCAGTATTAAATGCTATAGCAACATACAAAACGTGCATCACGATATTATGTATTAGAAAATTGATGAAAGTATTAACTTCAAATCTGTGTCAAGGCCCCTTTAAAACGTGGATTTAAATGATAAAATTATATACATGTACAGTATATCTTTTTTTTTTTATTGACTTTTTTATTTAGAGCAAATCAGTGACAAATTAGATAAATGGTTAGAAGAGGACACTAAATTTTATGAAACCCGAGCATGTATAGAAGCTGAAAAGTTGATTCAATCCGAAAAATGTGTGACTGTTACTGGAAATGCTGGAGCTGGAAAATCTGCCATTGTACATCACATTGCATTAAAAATGCAAAGATATAATTATGTCGTTCTGCCAATAAAAGTTCCAAGCGAGTTTCTACAATATTTCGATGCGCATTCCGATCAAATATTTGTCATAGATGATCCATGTGGCGAGAAATGTTTAGACGTTCATTTAGCAAATGAATGGAAAAGATATGAAGATGATATAATACGTTCTCTATCAAAAAACGACAAAACTCGACTACTGATCTCATGTCGACTTTCGATTAGTCGTACACATCATTACAAGGATATTAATCTGTTTGATGAAGTCGAGGGCGAAATCGTCAATCTAGTGTCTGCGAAATTTTCACTCACAAGAGAGGAAAAGATGGCCATCTATAAATCCCATACAAGTGACGAATTTCAGCTCAGCAAAAAAATTCTAGACTTGCATGATTGCTTCCCCTTGTTATGCAAACTTATATCAACCAATATGAAATTTAAGAAAAACATAAAGCGTTTTCTGAAGTTTCCTTATAAAGAGTACGATCATGAACTGGATGTACTGAGACACCATCCGACGCCGTACGAATACTGTGCTCTTGCATTGTGCATCTTCTTTGACAACGGAATCCAACTTTCACATTTACAAAAAGGGAAAGATGAAAAGGTCGACGAAATATTTGATGAAGTTTACGAGGAGTGCTGTCTAGAACAGGGTACTTCCAGGAAGAGAATAAAACTAGCTTTGGAAGCATTGACAGATTCCTTTATAATAAAGGACGATGATGCTTATAAATTACTACATGCCAAATTGACAGAAATTATAGCATGTCATTTTGCAAAAGAATCTCTTCATCTCTTGATAAAGTTTGCTCCTATGTGGATTTTGGATGCAAGACTTAGAAATCCGAGTTGCATGTCCATTAAAGATATAGATGAAAGTGGATACTTTATCCTCCTAAATTCACTTTGTAAACCTGTTCTTGCTGAAAGAATATTAAATTGTTTGGAATCAGAGAGCATCTGTTCACATCAAAAGGATTCTATGAAACAAATGGAAGATGTTTATGATTTGCTTTTTAATTTTTGCTTTCCCGATGATCAAATAGAAACACTCTTATTCGACGGATTGAAGTCAAATGGAAAATTAAATTTCCTTTTGCATAAACGAAATTGTATCGAAAATCCAAGAATTATGGATTACATAGAATATAAAAAGGAATTGAAAGAACAGGAATACGAAAAGGAGGAACTAAAGGAACTTGAAATGGTCCATCAGAAAAATTGGATACCGGTTCGTTCGATCACAAGAATAATAGCTGTCTACAATGGAAACATGCCAAACTTTTACAGAAATGTATCAGCGAGACAACTTCTTGAAATCAATGAAAATAACTTTCTTTTTTGGCTAGTTGGTGCGGGGTGGACTAATTTCTTGGTCCGGTCATTAGAGGTTGCTGACACTGTGTTAAAGGATGAGTTATTTATATGTAAAAACTCAGCTTTTCTTCTGTCATTATTCAGTGGGAATGTACATATGGTAAAATTCTGTTTTAAACTGTTAGGTCCAGATTTCAATGGGACATATACCTGTTTTCTTTGTAAACAGACTTGTGATTCATCGAAACATCTAAGACATAATTGTCTTGTAGAAGGCCTAAATTTTGTAACTGTGCCATGTTTGATTGGGAAGAAAGAAATTTTGGAGTTTCTTCTCACAGAAAGAATTTGTAACAGGGATGACTTAAACAAATTTGTTTGTTATCAATACCAATCAGTAACACCACTTACTGCAGCCTGTAAAATTGGTCATACTGATATAGTTAACTTACTGATTCAGAATGGAGCACTTGTTAATCTGAAAGACAAAAACGGTAATACTCCTCTTGTTGTAAGCTGTGAAAATGGAAACAACAAAGTTGTGCAATTGTTAGTGGAAAATGGTGCGGATTTAGAAGAAAAATGTTGTTTAGACATGTTTAAAAGCGAATTTATTCTAGATACTTTTGAAGATGAACTGGAAGAGGAAGGTTGGTCAGCACTTTGGTGGGCGTGTTACGGTGGTTATTTAACAAGTGTCTCATATCTGCTTGATAAAGGTGCAGATATTCACAATACAAATAAAGCAGGCAAAACTCCACTCTGGGCTGCTATACAAAGTAAGAATTATGAGGTGGTAGCTTTACTCATGAAAAAAGGCTTGAATGTAAATGAACAAGATAAGAATGGAAGAACACCAATATGGTGGGCTTCAAATGTAGGTCAACACGAAATTCTATACCTCTTTCAGGGTCTAAAAGGAGACGTCAATATCTACGACAATAATGATATATCCCCATTGTACACAGCATGTTACAGGAACAATATCAAAACTGCAGAGGTGTTGATAAAACACGGCGCTAAAATTAATGCAAATCATCCATCGCAACCTTCGCCATTAATTGGTGCGTGCTGTATGAAAGACATCGAATTGGTTTCCCTTCTTATTGGATCTGGTGCCGATGTTAATAGTATATTTGAAGGAATTTGTTCTCCTCTCTCTATTGCAACATGGTCGTCTTTCGAGAGTGGAATGACAATATTACTAGAAAACGGTGCTAAAATCAACATGAAGTTGAATAAGGGACAAACTGTACTCATTCAATGTATATGGAATATTGATAATTTTGCTAAAAAACTCCGTTACAGATTACATGATATAAAAGCTTTTGACGATTTATGCTTTAATTTTTATCCTGATACGTCAGAAGATTTTCCTGCACTTGTGTCTCTTTTAATCAAATACGGAGCTGATCTGAACTGTCAAGATGACAATGGATTAACAGCACTAATGGGTGCCGTCTTATACAATAGAGAATGTACAAAACTTCTGTTAGAGAATGGAGCTAGTGTTAATTTGCAAGAAAAGGACTCGCGGACCGCTTTACATAATGCATGTCTAAGACGGAACCATGCAACAGTTTTATTGTTAACAGAATACGGAGCAAGTATAGACGCGAAAGATGTCCATGGATTCACGCCATCACATATTGCATGCGAACTTTTAGATGAAAAGACAATCAAAATTCTTTTAAACAAAGGAGCAGACATTAATGTAATTGACAACAACGGATTTACCCCATTACTTCGTTTACTTTATCTTGAAGCATCTAAAAAAGACAGTAAAAAAGGCAATAATTTTAATGGAAATGATGAGGAAAAAAGATCAAATTGTGTGGTTGCCATCGCTCTGAAGCTTCTAGACCATGGTGCTGACCCGATGGTTCGTGCATTGGATTGCGATGCATGGTTTTTGGCAAAAGTATTGGACTATAAAAATCTTACCGAGGCGTTGTGTGAGAAAATAGATGAAATCAATGCTACCGGTAAATACTAAATACGAACGAAAAGGTTACAATCTTATGCAGGAATTAATAATTAATAAAAAATAATATTCAAAACCTCATGACCAATAGGTTTAAACTGATTTAGTGTTTAAATTCAAATAGACTCTTGCGAGGTAAAGAGTTGTTCCTCGCAAATCCCACTGTGGGACGTGCATGGGGACCGGTCCATCGGATGAGACCGTACAAACCGAGGCCCCGTGTCGCAGTAGGTGCTGACACGAAAAAGATTCCCCATTGCTCAATGGCCCTGAGTGCCGAGTATGGGTCAAAATTTGTAGCTCTCCACCGGCAACTTGTGGCGTCTCCGTATGAGTGAAAAATTCTCGAGAGAGACATTAAACAACATACAATCAATCAAACAGACACTTACAGGTATGTATGTGTATGTACATATATATTAATATATTTTTCAACTTTTTATTCTTTCTGATGTGCTATTATTTTGCTACGTATTCGATGTCTGTTTGAATGTATTGCGAGCACGCTTTTTGCATGAAATCAATATATAAATATATATATAGATATATGGAAATATATAAATCTCTGCAGATAAAAAAGTACAGTAGATATACTGTGTAAATAGAAAAGTTTGATGTTTTCGGTTGATCTTTAAAATATATAAAGATGTATCATCATAGTAAAATATATTTATCATATCTCCTCTGTTACAACAATTTTAATAAAAATCATATGCGAAACTATGAATAGAATTATAAAAAATACTATTTTTCCCATTTTTTTCTTTTATGCCTGCTTAAGTGCGTATACAGTAATTTTAGGATCTCAGTATCTAATTTGCTCCTTTGATAATTTGGAAAATGAAACGTGACTTGCTTTAGTGATATTCATTAATGAGTACGCCGCCTAACGTCAAGAAATCTCGCTATGTTTTTGATTATGGAAATCATGGAAGAATCACTTCACCAGAAAATAGACTACTTACTGCAAGTTTCCATATATAGTTGCGCCTCAAGTGTCATTAACACAAAACTAATCAAACTATATGCAACCCCCTCTACATAAAAATTGTATTTATGTTTGTTCAAAGTTCAGAGCCTATTGGAGGCATACAACAAGATCAGTATAACCATATAGATTTTTTAAAATGCAGCTGCACCATAGAAACTCCAAATACTCCCATAAAGTGCTAACATTTCGTAGACCCATTGTTAAACAGACAGGCTGGAGGCTGGAGTTTGAAATTCTACATTGTTAAATTGAATTACATGTATATAACGGTTAGAAATATTCGTAGAATAACAATAGGTCAAATCATCATTCCAAATGAAATACCCTAAAGTAGTCAGCTCTCTGTGTATTTGAATCATTACTCTACAGGCTGAATCGGAACCACAACTGGAATTCGAAGATTTACAAAAATACTCAGAGACAGGAACCTAAGGAAATTTTTGTCAATATGAACATGCTAACAATATTTCAATATATGTTATATGTATCTAAAAGGTATGGCAATCTATAACCAGTTCAATGGTTACTCGACGGGATCGATGAATTTTGATAATTAAAAAAGTAATATGTGTAAACTTTAACTTCATTTTCTTAAAAATTAAACTAAAAATTTATATGGCTTACTGAGTATTCCCCGAAGTGTTATGCAACAGAAACAATAAGTAATTAGGCCTAAACACAGTAATTAAGAAACCCTCTGGTAGTGTTTACCTGTAATTTATAAGTCAGAATCAGCATAAATCTATCAAATACCGTATAAGTGGAAATTTTAGCGAGACACAAATTTAGCGATTGCTCCTTAAAAAGTTGTATTTTATTTTTAGTGAGATGTTATTTTAGCGATTTTAAAATGTTCATGAAAGAACCTATTTAAAAAAACGCAATAAATTTTTAGCGATATGTCATTTTAGCGATCTCAGCATCCTCGTTAATAATGCCAAAATTAAATCCTCGCTAAAATTTATACTTATACGGTACCCAGTAAAGCAGGACATGGCAGAAGGTTGAGTACAACTATTCATGAATTACTTTATTTATAAATAATTAAGATCACTTCCAAATCGATTATGGATTACTTGATATGCCTGTATTTCTGGTCCCTTTACTGATTGAATAAAATCCATAATGTTTGCTGCAACAAACCGCCTGTTTTTTGTTTTTGTTATTTTTTCAATTGCTTTCTTTTTATGATGTAGACAGTAATTTTATGATCTCAGTGATATCTAATTTGCTCCAGTGGCTGTTAGAAAAATTAAACATGACTTACTTTATTTCCACTTATTTATAAGGGGAAAAGACTGTAGTACTTAAAGAATTTGAAAACGAAACAAAAATGTTGACAGGTATATAATCAGGTTACTACGTCAACTAACACTTGAAATCTCATTCTCTATTTGATTATGCAATTCATGAAAGAACCACGTAACCAAAATACTGACTGGATGGTCACTGCAAGTTTAACCATAACTATATGATTCTGCCTCAAGTGGGACCAGAGAATATTGTAACTTATTTTCATCAACTCATCGCACCTGGTCAATTCCACGGTTTTGGGTTTTCAACATTAAATGATTGGAAATAGTTGATTGATTTTACCGTCAAAATATACAAATATTCCTAATCTTAATCAGAGGCATGCAACGATAAACTGGTTTTTCTACCCTGACACAAGAGCCCAGTTGCCCCTGGACTACCGCTTATACTGTAGGATGCCTTCAATATTCAGGACGGACAGTATGACAGCCCTTCAACCACTACACTCATTGTAGGGAAGTTTATTCACGACAATAAGTATAGAAGTCTGGACGGACTGGTCAGCCAATGCAGGCACAAACTATGGTCAGCCTCTACATTGAAGATCAACCTCATTTGTGGTAGGCCTTAACTGATTTGGCCTTTTGTTTTTCTAATTTGGTCTTTCTCTTATTGTGACGTGCAACTTATATGCTTGCAGCAGCACCCTTTTTTGTGGTCACACTTAAGCCATATATGGCGTATTTTTGATAATTTCAGTTAAACGAAATTGAAGAGATGTGAATTACACAATTTAAATCAGTCGCGTTTTAATTAATATCAAGAATTTAAAAATGTTACCAGACTCCACATTTAAATAACAGACCACTTTAGATTCAATTTAATTATAAATATGGAAAAACTGAGAGCATTTATTTTGCAGGTAATTCGCTACATCGAAATTAGAAGTGTTATATGTGATAATAATAATAAAAAAACTGAAGTCAGTCACACTGTTCTTTATTTAATATGCCATTAACCTTTATCTTTGTTAAACATCTAAAAAAACAGAGGAGGTAGATTCTGTAGAATCTTTTATTCCGACTTCAATGGGAATAAATTATGAAATTCCTATTTAGAGCAAGAACAAATAAAATGCATCATCCATTAATCATCAACTCTATTCTTTTATTCCTTTCTATCATTCAGAATCATATTAAAATCACTTATAATTTCAATATCAACTTATATGCTCCAGTAATATTTAATGTCTTCTTTAAAAGAAGTTTATTTCAAACGATTGCACTTGTATTCATACCTATACTATAACATTGCTAAAACAGGGAATGGAAAATGGCGCACCAATCTGATTTTTTTTTTCGTTTCAATGGCCACGGTTATCATTTTTGAACTTGTTGCAAATAGAACACATCATTATAATAATAAATATAAATTTATCAATATTTCCCCCTCCCCCACTTTTTTCAAAGTTTTACTGTTTACTAGTATCTAAAAAATCAGTGCCCCTTCCCAATTTTGTAGTATCGTGAATTATATCCAGAATATAAATGTTTGATTCTAGATCTACCGCCGAATATTCATGAAAAAAACTTTTATTTAAAAAAGGCAATGAGGCAATGAAGGCTAAACAAGGATAAACAAAGAATAATAGAGATCGGGCTTGTGAGGAATATACCATGTTTTACTTCGGAAATATAAAAAATACATTATAAGAGAATCTGGATTTACATGTAGCCGAACAAGATGGATGAACAAGATATGTCACATCCATGTATCATGCTAAGTATTAAAATTTAAACGATTTTAATGAACATATGAAATTACTTTAAGAGTTCTCGCAGAAATAAGCAGTTGGTACTTACGAGGGCTGTTCAATAAATAATGTCATGAACTGTATGACATACAATACAGATATCAATGGGATCGGCATTCTCAAAATATAAAGTGACGATTGATTACACCTAAGACCTAAACTAATAAAGAACGTACACCGGGAATCGCCAATGAATACAAAATTGACGAGAGAAAACTTTGAAGAGCGAAAGTCATGCGTCCTGCTCAAACTATCCACTTTTACAGTATTTTTTTCTACATGCAAGATACTGAACAAAGTATTATTGTAATTATTTTATTATATTTATGACTTTTTAATTTTAGATCGAACAAGTGGTTCTTATTCTATCGATTACACTTTATTCAATGATTCTCTTCTCTTTCCAGTTTTTTGCATTGATAATTATAAGCCGCAATTTGAAAATAAGCCGGTCTTGAAAATGAGCCCCCACTTTCTTACCAAAACTTAGAATAAGCCGCGGCTTATTTTCAAGATTTTAGGGTATTTATTTTCCATATTTTTTTAAAAGACCAAATAGATTAAAATAGATTATACTGAAAAATCGATGTACCTCATCCAACATGAATAGACGTACTTAACGATATAAATAAACATCAAACTTACGTAGTTTTAAAAAATACCCAAGATAGTTGATTATTCCATTAGTAACTTTTGATAGCTTTATCATTAAATAAAAAGGAGGGAAACTGCCGCTATGGGATCTGCAAGAGTTCCTATTGCTATCAATTTGTATCTCACTGGACAAGTCCTGTTTCTGTTAAGGACATGCTACTCTCAGTGCTTCGACTCAAAAACTTTGCTTATTAGCAATTATGAAAATTCCTCAGTGCCTGGTTTTAACCATTTGACCAATGCTGGCATGGGAATGTGCATGATGGTTTGTTACAAGTTTTCATTATGTTTGTCAGTGGACTGGACACGAGAAAAAAAGACGTGCAGTCTTAACACGAGATTTTCCATCCAGAATGTTAGTCAGCTATTGACAGAAGATATCATCATTCATGTTGACCGGGAAAATTTCCCGAAG